GGGTTAGGTTTAATAAGAAAAGTGAAGAGAAGATAAGTTAGAATTGACGTCACAGATTTTTATTTATCTTGTTGATATTTTAGAGCATCCCAGCAGCGTGGCCCAGACAGTACTTGCAGATGTGGAAGGTTTCATGAGGTGTGCAGAAATAAAAAAAATCAATGCCCTGGTGGTATGGTGCTCCAACATGCTAGATTCGCTGAATCAAGATCGGTCTGCTAAGGCTAGGGTCATTGGTGAGTGGATATGGACATTTCCAGGTGTTTGTCGTCTCTTGCCAGTGAATCCTATTTCTGGTCTTTCAACCACTTAGGAAATACACTTGTTTTGCCTGATTCGATATTTTTGAAAAAGCTTTGTTTTAACATGTGCTATGTTTTTATTGGTTTTGTTTAGAACTTGTTTGGAAAAGTGGAACTGAACAATTCCTACTCCGAAGTAGTTACCTTCAGAAACACTTTTGTTCAGAATTGTGAAACTTTTGTCTTAAATACTGTATTGCCATTGGCCGAGAATGACCATGTGCCAAGTCATACCAAATGTCACCCTCATATCTGTACATACCACATTGTGATACCTAGACTAGTTTCCACCTCACAGTCCCAACGATATTGCAAGGACCAGCAACCAGACTAGTTGAATTCATTTTTACTTGTGCTACTTTTATCTGTGTAGGAGACTGTAATGAGAGTGGGGACTCAGCAAATGAGGTATTGGAACTTGACAAACTAGTTCCTGAGGTGGAGATGAGGGAATTGTATTGTCAACGTCAAAAAGTGACTTGTTATCCAAAAAGCATCTTTTACTTCTTTTGTTCAGAGATCCTTTGCAAGGACACCCGACCTCAGAAACTCTACGCCCACTTCCTCTTTGGCGTAGATGGCCAACAGATGCAGCGTTTCTCCCAGCAGCTGTGGACATTCCTGTCCCAAGGCAGGCACATGGCCTACATTGAGGACTCCCATCTGCGTGCGCCCAACGTGGACTATGACCGATACGCCCGGATCTTCCTGAGGAGCTGGGCAGGTATGTCCAAGTTGGGGCCCGATTCCCTGGAGCTCAGAAGAAAAAGTAAGCAGAATTGCCGGGCGGATTCCAGTGCTAAGCAAGGATCAGCCGAGACTCAGTTGCGAGATAAAACAAGTGGCGTGTGGCATTTTGCCCAGTGACCCGTTTTTGCTAAAAAAAGCCAACATTTCCATGTGTGTGCCGCTCCAGTTATATTGGCCTGAACCATGTTTTTCCAGACAAAGGTTGGGCACTTTCTTCAGTCGTAGCTTTGTCCCTGACCTGTTAACCAGTCTTACGCCCTCCATGTTCAGAGTCTTTTTACGATCCCATGGCCCAGCATTTTTTTATTCATTGGATAACAAGCATTCGATAGAACATTCCAGTAAATTTCCAATGAAGATTACAAAATACATAGACTAGAGTTACCTTTGACATTGCAAATTGTTAAGGCAGGGAGATAAAGCAATTGTTTATTAATTGTTTCCTCTCTGACTCTGTTCATTGGTTTAATATCCAAAAAAATGAAAAAGAAAGTTTTCCCTGGATACGAATCAAAGCCAGACCATGACCAAATCCAACCAGCAGTGTTCGGTGTGGTTTCCCATCCAAACTCTGCAGCTAGGCAGAATCCTTTAAACTTAGGTCCTCCTTCGGCCAGTGGGAAGCTTCCCCTGACTCATGTGACCTGACGTACATCTGCGTATGTCATTAAGGAGAGACCACATCACCGTGCATTGTACTTGGTACCCAGTGGCAAGCCTTCATAGCTTTATAGATGCCAAAAAGTATAAGAAAATATGTAACCAGCACCAAGCACCGAATTGGCACTGTAAGGACAAATGGACATGGCATAGATGGTGACCATTAAGCCTCCTTTAGTTTTACACTACAAATATGCACAAGTGCCCAAGGTGCCCCTCTTGCACGTTGGTGCAGTGCACAACACGACACAGCTGTGCTTCTTTGAGGTGTTTACCAAGTGACCCAAAGAGTGACTTCAGCATAGGAGGGTTAAGCCATGTGGTCAAGAATTCATGGTTCATTTTTATAGAGGAAAATGAGCCCCACTTTCAAATTTAAAATTTACGATGTAAAGTTGCTAACTAAATGCTCGCCTGTGGTAACTGTGGCCGCACTCGGGAAACCACTTGGTTACGTGGTATTTTGACACCTAGGTGGTATTTTGACACCTAGGTGGTATTTTGACACCTAGGTGGTATTTTGACACCTAGGTGGTATTTGACACCTAGGTGGTATTTTGACACCTAGGTGGTATTTTGACACCTAGGTGGTATTTTGACACCTAGGTGGTATTTGACACCTAGGTGGTATTTTGACACATAGGTGGTATTTGACATCTAGGTGGTATTTTGACACCTAGGTGGTATTTTGACACCTTTTGATCAGATTGCATTTTTTGTTTTTCTCCCAGGTTTCACAAGTGAGCCAAAGAACCCAGAGGAGTCTGCAGATCCAACCATGAACTGCTCAGAGGAATTCTCTGTGAACACGTCCGGTTCAACCCAGCACCCGTCTGACCAGTTCCACCCACAGCAGGACCAGGGCAGAGACCACCTGGTCATGAACGGCACCTCGGTGGACCATGCCGAGGCCAATCGCACCATGCAGCAAGGCAAGGCCCTCCGGTCGGCCGACTCATCCACCCAGGACCGGCTGCTGACTGCTGAGGAGTCCTGGGACCCGGCCATTGTTGCTGTAGCCAGCAAGTCACGGGAGTCGCAGTCGGATGGCTGCTCTGTGCCGCCGGTGAATCACAGCCTCCGGGGCCAGAGTGGACCGGATGGGCTGCAGGCCGTAGCCCAGTCGGCCATGGTCCAGCCAACCGCAGTCCACCAGGCTGTAGTCCAACAGGCTATGCCAGGAACCCAGGGCCAGAACAAGTTGGCCACATGCAGCCTGAGTTCTGTGTCTGTGGACAGCGTCCATGGGTCCAGGCATCCAGGCGGAAAGGCCAAGCATGTTCCCAGTGGAGCTGCCAGCATTTCAGGTACTGCAAACTACTGAATGCTTAATTTTGTGACACATTTGATAGTCACAAGTTACACCTAAAGGCTGGTTCACACCAAAGATTGTATAGCACCGCGTAGCGAAGCAAGATGCCGAACTTCACCATGAATCACGTAAAACGTTGTAATCGCATGGGCGCCATTTGAGCAAGCGATACGCCTGCACAATGCACATTAATGCAAAGGCGCAGGCGCCACAGCAGGCATGTGCACCTAGTGAGCCTGCGCCCAAGCATTACGGCAAACTGCGCTAGCATATCGCTTGCTCAAATGGCAGTTATCCATCTTGCGCCTTTGGCGCTATACGATCTTTGGTTCATACTGTGGTTGAATGCGAAAATGAAGTGAATTTAACACCATAACCTGTTTGCAGTGAAATTTACTTTACATTTATCCAGCTTTTGGGAAAGTATAGCTCAAATATTTTACATGTATCTGAATCACATTCATGTTTGCTTTTGTACTAAGTATGAACAGACCTTAATCCTATTAGATTCTTAGCCAAAAATTGCCCGAGTGTGTTTTTCCAACTGTGACTGGAAACATGTTTCTGCTCTTGTCATTGATTTAGTGTTTTGGGAAATGCGCTTGTGTAACACAAGCAAATGAGAATCGAAGTTTGGAGTTAGTTCAATGTTTGTTGAAAAATGGCAGAAAGTGGAGATGGTTTTTTTGTCCAAAATGAGCAAATAAATCATGTATCCCCAAGTTGTTGTCACAAGCAGCAAACCAAAGCGGGCACTTTTAGAAGTTAAAAAGAGAAATCAGCAGTAACTAGAAACAGGCCGAATGCAGATTGAAAATGACATTGTCAGCTATGTTGTCAATCTGCTGCCTCATCTAGCTTGGACGATGTAACCATGTTTGGTTCTGCCATTTTTTTTACACTTAAAATGTTCCCAGTTATGGCTGTGACATCACAAACATGTTTCTAGAAGAGAGATTGTGAAAACCCTCTCCGGCACTGAGGCTCATTTATTTACAGTGCTACACCGCTATAACGAACACAACAGGATCCACGCTAAATGTTCGGTACAGCGGTCGTTCGGTATAGCGAAATTAACTGCTGAACGTTTTGTTGCCATATTGAATAGCGCCCTCTCTCTTGTCTAACTGAAGTACACCCTCTTGTGATACTGTGATTCGCTGTTTTTGTGATATTTTGCTGTTTCATTCACATTTGAGGTTTCTAGAAATGTATCTGTTAATTATTTTTGTTTTTTATTAAATTAAATCCTGAGTTACAAAATTGATATTTAGTTTATCCTAAAAGTCGTGAAGCTACCACTCAGGATCGATCTTTGATGCATGCTCTGGCGAATCCTGGTTTATTGTTAACTTCATAATGTTCGGTGGTTTTGTGCACAAAATATTGGGAGCCAAGGATGATGTTTAGTATGGCCGAATGTTCGGTATAGCGGTGTTTGGTATAGCGACATTCCACTGTATTGCAAATTTCCACCTTTCCCTGTTTGCCTCCCCCAAAGCCCCAGGCCACCAGGGCCCGCCCAGCAGAGTACCTGTTGCACTGCCCTCAATAGCCGAGAGGGAACAGCCCACAGAGCAGGCCCACCTGCAACCACCAGGCAACGGTGCCAGCAGGAACAAGTTTGCCCTTAGCGGGTTTGACTCCCACGTTGCGGACAGTGAGCGATCCAGCACCACTGCAGGCCAAGAGCTGATGAGCCAGACATCACCAGGTAATTTGTGCCTCATCAGGAAGTCTTCAAATTCAAAACCAGACAGTAGTCTTTCAAAAGAAAACTTCAGAAGAGTAGGAATATAGATCGTCTATTAAACACAGACCCTGGAGATTATAGCCGCATTATCTTTGCTTTTTTCGCAGGCCAATAAAATAGGCCAATAAAATGAACTTTGATTGTGGCATTTCTTATCATCATTCATCCCTGCTACATGAGACCAGCCTTGTGGCTTGTCTAAGAGTAAGAGTTCTTTGTTATAATTACCAGTGTTAGAGTCAAATCAGTTTAACACAACACATCAAAAAGTCAATTACACGTCGGTCAGTCTCACGCCTTTTAGGCACAAACAAATGAACAGTAACAAATTCCCCTTTTGGCCTTGTTCATCCCAGTTGTATTAGGGCGTCTGACCTCACCTGTGACAGAGCTTGGGATGGACTTGTGACAGACCATGTCCCAATTTCATAGCGCTGGTTAACAGCTGATGCTTTGTTATACTGCATCCTAACCCCCAGCCTATTTCATTTCATGCAGTCAGCAAAGCAGAAGCATGCTTAACCCTGAAGGAAAGATTTGCTCAAATTAGTAATCAGACAATTAAAAAGCACAACTTTTCTGCTGACTGCTAAGCAGCGTTATGAAATTGGCCTTAAATGACAACAGAGGTGTTCTCACATTCTGCCCCATTTTTCAGAATCTGTTCCCTTTAATATCCCAGCTGGGGAGCGGTGTGCCAGTTGCGGTGCTTCGCCCGCACCATCTGGGCCAGCCTCAGGTCAAGGGGACAATCACCTGTCCTTGCAGCAGAACCCTGTCCGCCTGACGTCTGACGCTGCTAGAGAGTTGGATGCACTCTTTGGAATTACAGACACCTGTAAGCATGAAGTATTTGTCAGCTTTTTTTGGAGGGGAGGGCCAATTCCTTCCATCCCCCCACTAAATTACAGGCAAGCATGCTCAATATAGATCTTTTAAAGGCTCTGACAAGCCTTGTCTGAAGTGCTCGGCTTTGGCTAGAGATAATACTCGCCTCTGTGTGTCATGCACAAAGCCATTAGCTGGTGGCTTCCATAGGTGTGTGCATTATTCTGACCTTAGCCAAGTAATCCAGGAGCAGTCTCAAGTGCCTGTTCCACATTCCCTTGTCCTCTGCCATCTTGGGATGTCTAGCAGTGGTCAAAATTGGTCACATTGCGGCTACAGCTACCATTTGTATGGCTATGAATTTACCATTGTGGACAGGCATACAGCTGTAGATATTAAGTAGTTTTCTGTTTCAGACTCAGTCTGCCATCAGAGATTGGGTGTCAAGACATGAACAGATGGATGATCAGTTGTTGTGACATAATATTATTTTGATCACTGTCATCATTTGCATGGCGTGGCTTTCTGTTTTTAAGTTTGGGCGTGAGTCCAGTGAGATTTCCAGCACCTCAATTCTATTGACAATGTTAGCAGCGAGAACCAGTGTAACAGTCCAGTAATTTCACTGTTGCAGTGAAACTGCATTTTTTTAAAAAAAAGTGTATTTATGGTAGCCTTGATGACACATTTTTGAGGCAGACCACTACATGTTTGGTTGGGCGGGGGCTTCTGAAATTGCCAACCAAAAATCACTACACCAGTGATCTGTATTCCAAACATTTCTTATGAATGGTAAGTTGGAAACAGGTGATTTTTTTCTTGATTCATGCCCGTTTTCTAGAGGAACCAAGAATGATACCAAACCTTGTGAAGCGCACCCAAAAGTCTGATTTTTGTGAGCCAGAAACATTTTTTCAAGTTGCTGAATATTTCAAAATTGCAGGTAATCCGCAGAATTTGCAGTCTGTTGGAAACCAGACCGTGCACGAGCAAGATAGAGCATCTCTGACCCGTAAGTAAAAGGCGGGACACATTTATTGCCCACTGTACTGTGATCCATTGGTTTTTTGGACCTCTAGGAAAAATGGACCAGAAATGCAGCTGGGGATTGAATTCAATTTCACTTGGCTCCATAGGATATAGGAATGCCATGCATCCAATTTCCCCAGCTAAAAGTTATTCATTAGAATAATTCATTGAATGAAAATGATTTTTTGAAGCAGAAACTAGTAAGGCGGGGCATGAAGAAGTCATGTTGCATTTTGACTTTGGACTTACAAAGTTAAGTAGCGACTTGTGTACAGAGTTTACAAGTAATTTATTTATTCAGGTGTTGTATAAATAATTTATGTTAAACATGTTCACACATTGGAAAAAAATGCAATCAATTAATGAGAACAATCCATATGTCACCTCATAAAATTACTGTTACACTCATAAACATTCATTACTTAAATACAAGTGCTAAGTCCAGGTCTCTTCCATTTTGCAAATAGATTGAGCACGTGTTGACAGTGGATGTAGCCCCGGAGGTCTGTTTTAGACAAGGGCAATTAAAGGCACACCCATCTTTACAACTGTGATGCATTTGCTTGTCATTCACAGGCAATCCAGAGAGCTTACCATCTATTGCAAGCCATACTGCACGTGAGGAAGAAACAGCATCTGTTATGACCAGTAAGTGAAAACCTGGCTTCACCATACCATACATTGTGTGTCTGGGAGAAGGTTTTTTTTAAGGAATTACAAATGCTTACACTTTCAAAATGGTACTACAGCCTTCCTGAAAGGGGTGAGGAGGATCCTTTTGTAGTCACAATATTGTTGAACTTTCGTTTTTCAGAAAAAATTACCATTTTGCTTATCTTGGTCCCAGAATGTGTGTATGCCAATTGTGTGTCCACCCTCGGAAATGCTGCAAGAAAGTACTCTTCAGTTTGAACTGGCTATTTTATTAACTGGCCATACTTGGTATTAAAGAGGACCGAGTTAGGTGGTGCTTTTCCTGTCTTCATATTTGCTGTGGCAATCCAGAGAAAAGCACCAGAAAAATGTCCTAAATGTGGAAATTATGACATTTTGTTTGAGAGTTACTCCACACATGGGTAGATAAACCTCTCAGTCTTTAATAAGCCTTTTGCGTGTTAAATTTGAATAAAATCTGGTACACTGAGTCCTTTAAATTCATGTGAACATAACAATTTGAATTACATAAGAGATGCCTTGCACCGATACACTGTTCTCAATTGGTAAGAAGGGCACAAAGGAACCAGTCCATTCCAGAGATATGCAAAAGCTTGCCCCGAATCACGAGGTGTAACAACAGTGTCTTAAGTCTGGAGAGTTCAAATTGTTATATTTGTATGTAATGTGATTTATTCAAATTTAACTCGCCAAAAGCCTTATTGACGCTGCAGTCATTTGGGTGCATTTCATGCATGACTGATCAGGGGCTGGATTTGCAAACCTTCTTAGAAAGGGCTTGTGCACAAAACAAATTATGGGGGTGTAACTAAAATCAAAGGTAGTAAGAGACAAATGTATAACAAGTGCCTTTAGAAATCCCAAAGACCTGTGGAAATGCAAAAGGCTCCTTTCACCTTTACACTTTGAACTGGGGATGTTGATGGCGCTTTACTCCGAATCATGCTGAGGTGTCACTCTTTTTTCATTCTACATAGTGGCACACACTCAAATTGGAATGTTTGTGTTCTGTGTCTGTTGCCTTCTATGTACAACAGACAACTATACGTGGCTATCCCACGTATAGTTAGCACAATGCAATGTGAAAACTAATTTTAGGTACAACGATGTACGTTGGGGTAGGTCCCTGGGTTGCCCAAAGCAAACAAGAAAGACAAAAAGCATTGCCTAGCCAAGAGTGCATTTATATAGGCATTGGTGGAAGGGCAAACTCCCCAATATACAGTTGCCCTCTGTCGTGATTAATTGACTGGACAAGGAAATTCCGATTTGAAAACACTGATCTGTGTGAATCAACTGGTTTGAATGTGTTCCCTTCAGCTTCTCGAAGCATGCCGGATATGTGCACCGTGTCCAGCATGGCAAACTCCACCTTGCGGTCAGTTCTAGAAGGATCTAACCCAATGCTGAACGGTAAGCACGCCGATTGGTTTCTATTGTGGCTCCAAGCCTGTGATTTCATTGGTCCATAATGCTCATGTGGTAAATCACTGCAACTTCATTTCATCACCCCAACGTTGCCTTGCGGGTCATTTGCCTCATGAAACATGGTTGCCTCTCAGATGTGTAGGATGCACCACACAATTCTTCAAGGCTGGATTAAATTCTGTAACACCTTTCACCAATTCGGAAATGCTTGTTCCAGCATCTGTAACACCTATGGCAATCGTTGCCAATTTCTGTAACGTCCACACAAACTAGTGTATTCAACGTCTACACCAGTTCCTGTAAAATAAGGCCGCCACATTTGCCACCTAGTGGTTTTTCCCATTTTTGTTAATGTCTTTCTTCAGGGGATGATATGTTATAGTTGTATACATGTCAGAATAATATTTAAAACCTACTCTTGGACCAGCAGCTCAGAGATCTCAGGTTTTGAAAAAAATGCCGCAATTTCTAAATGTTCATTGAGGATATGTTAGTGGATTCCACCGTGTGGTACTGTGGTAATTCAAATAAAGTAATTTATTTCCAACTGAACTAAGGAAACCTTTTATATGTCCACCATTTTGCCCAAACTGATAAATTTCTTATCTCCATCTGTCTCCTCATCTTCCCCCACCCCAGGAGAAAGTAGCGCCTCCTCCCAGCCAGGGAATAACCCAGAGGCAGCAGGCGGGACCCCCCTGAGCACGCTGGCCAGGCCTACCGTCAAGGGCCTGCTCATCCGACTGGATCCCATGAAGGTGGCCATATCAGACTGGCGTGACCTGGCCAGCCACTTCGGGGTGCCCCCTGAGCTCATCAACTACTGGAAAGGCATGATGTCAGGCCAGGGCAACTTCTCCCCGACGGACAGCCTGATTGAGTGGCTCAAGTCCAAGCCACAGCCTGTCACTGTGGATGACCTCAAGGCAGCCCTGAGGAAAATCGAGAGGTTTGACGTCCTCAGGGTTTTGAATGAGCCGGACAACTAAAACTAATTTGATGGACATTCCTAAAGTCGATTGAGATTTCCCACTGCAATCTGAAGTAAGATTTGAAGGTTTGCATTGTAAAGTTGAGTAACAAGACTAAGATTGTGGTAGCACAATGCAGCAGTTACTCTTTTGTGAGTGTTGAGGTTTTGAGTTTCCCATGGGTCAATGCAGAACCTCACAACTACCCTGAACCGCAAATGTACACCTGAAACCACTTCTCTTTGACATGAACTCACTCGGTCGTGTGAAAAATTATACTGATATTGGAGAATCAAGGACCGTAGGTCTAATTTTTTACGAGACGTGTCTCACCCTATAACCCTTGAGATCCTTCCGAGGAATTTTGGAGGATTTGAAGACTAACAGAAAGGCTGTCGCATCTGCCATTATTTTGCATGGGGCTTGATGTCCTTGATGATCCTTGAAAGGTTAAGTGTACAGAGAGTGCATAATTTGAAAAGGTTCCAAGCAATAATGCTTTGAGAGTCGGGATTGCTACTAAAAGTAATTTGTTAGATATTTAAAGCATGAGCTAATGCATCAAAAACCTAGGCTCCCTTCATTGCCTGGAGAGGTGCCAATGATAGAGTCTCTGTCTTGTGTTCCTGATTGGTCCAATCACTTCCCAATTGGCTGAAACACAGTCACATGATGAGCATGCTGATAAGCATGGACAAGTGTTTTTGCCATCTGATGGCCCTTGCTGGTCTGAAAAGTAAAAATGCAAGCTAAAATGAAACTTAATAACTGGATCCCATATAAATGGTTAGGGCTTGACTGTTGTTCCTTTTTCACCGCAGTGTCACAGTTTTATGACCAGTTGTTTTTAACAAATTTATCTGCCTTGTTACTTAAGCTGTGAAAATTTCTTCCACGGGATGTCGTGGCATTCTTCCAGTACCAGCACACTCCAGTGCCCTTCTGGCCAGTATCGATCACAAGAGGGCAGTGTTGTGGTCGAGTTCATCCCAAGTCGTTCACAAGACCAGGCACAAGTCTCTTGATGAGATCAGAAAAAAGTAACAGGGGCCGAGTTCGGGCGGCTTGATCCCGTATGTTCACGAACAGCTCGATTTGTTGTTTGTGGGTCGGCCGCTCGAACGCCGGGAACAAACAACCGGTTATCGCTGGAAGTTAGTGACATGCAACATGGCGGCGTCCATGAAAGCTACATTATTCGGGAGTGAACGTTTGGATGGGCTGAATTCTTTTCTATATAAACAGGAACATTCATTTCTGTGTAAAATAATTAATATTAATTTTGCAAAACTTCTCATTGTTTATGGCTATGGAAGCCATCTCTACTTTTTGCAGCTGTTCAAAAATCAAAATCTCTCGAGTTTTTTCGTGTATTCTTGTAAAACCCTGACGAGGTGGTGGTGTGTGATCCTGTTCCGAGAACAGTGTTCTTGATTCATGTTCCCGTCGTTCGAGCCGGAGAACAAGAAACCTGTGTCAAGAACAGGCCACCCGAACTCGACCAGTGTGAATAACTCTGCACAGTCCATTGGAAGAGCGTGTGATTTCACTCGAGACTGGATAACTTGAGGTCAAATTGGGGGAACTTGTGAGGACTTGTGAAGGGCTTGCAGGAACGTCTGAGGACTTGTAAAGGACTCGACCTCTCTACCAGAGAGTCCTCTTTCCATTGTTGCTATATGCATCTGTCGAGTGCACTGATTCTTACTAATGCCAGTGCACAATACATGTAATACCCAACTTCCCTCTGGAACATTGAACTAGTAAATCCTGGCCATGTTGTGTTTACTTATATAACACTTTTTGCTGTACCCATGCTCTTCCTGCAGCAGTGCGATGTTGTTTCAATCAAACCACTGGTTTTCCGTGCATTCATTTTTCTATATGTACTGGTTTATGGAGATTTCTGTGAAAAGATAAAATAAACATATATTGAGATGCTTATAAGGCCAGCAATATTGTAACTTGATACTACTACGAGGAACTTAATTAATCTATTAGGATATCCTGTCCACTTCACCTGTTTGGATGCGGCCTAGTGATTCTATGAATTTAGATTGAAATTGTACTGTACATATCAAATATTTTTTACACAGCTTTGGAAGTTAAAATATATGAGCCACGTCGCTAGGCAACTATCATTGCCAGTACTTTACACAAATCTGGAATAATGTATATTTTGAGAAGCCATTTCAAGACAGGATCTCCAAAATATGCCTGTTAAAATCGAAATTTTATCCATGGAATGGTTATTCGATTATGGTTTTTGCTTGTAAGACCGAATGCCCTTCATTGCATAGTGCATGTTGTTCAGAGACATGGGTACAACAGTATTTTACAGTCCTGCGCTGGAGATACCTGGGATGACCTTCCACCTCGTCGGATCCTGCACCCAGGATATTCCAGGCTATGGACTCAGGTCACCCACTTTTTCTCAATGGTCCTGAATGATGGAGTAGTGAAAGTGCTCACATCTGGAAGTCAAGAACTCCGGATCAAACACTTGCCTCTTTCTGTTACGGTCAGTTTGGCCTGTATGGAAGGTAACATTGGTGAAATCTGTGCGAGTGAGAGGGTGTTCTCCAAATTCCTTGTTTGCCTTGTTGTGGTATTTTTGTGTATACATGTATACAAAAAAATACCAATGCACATGTATGCATTGCCAGATTGTTTTTTTTTTTTTAAAGGAAATTAAATGCGCTGACACTTTGGACACAGTACTCCCAACGTTTTTTTTGTTGGGGGGCAGTACGTGATGAAAAAATTGATCACTTATTTTTAGGAATCCCCTGGCTCAAACATGTCAAAACCTCAAGAATAAAAAAAAGAGAGCTTTAGAGGGGAACCACAGCAGTGTAGGGCCTATGGTATGCATTTGTTTGCCCGGTGGCATCCCTCAAAAATACCCATTTCTTGCGTTTTACATGTATATCAATTTATAAACCATTTCGTAAACAAAACACTTTGATGATATAAATAATTTTTGAAAAATCCTGATTGCAGGAAAATACTGATAAAGAAACCTGAAATCAGGATAAATCCCAACGAATCTCACCCGTGGCATAGAGAGAAGTATGAGGCTCCACGGCACAAATGTGAAACTTTTTATACAACGCCTGAATAATAAACTCCCCCAGAATCAAATGATGAGAATTTGTTCAAATGTGTAATTAACAGTTACTGACTGCTGTGAGATTCCAGGTATCCTTCAGGGTGCTAAAATATCATATCCCACGTCACAGCAGTCAAGAATTGTTTGATTTACACTTCAGTCATGGATACTTTGTAATATTCTCCTCACCTGAGGGTCTCCAATTGAATTGAAATGACAAGTATCTCAGTCCATGGCTGTACAGAAAGTTGCACGAGGTGTGCAAGCAGATGATTATGCAATAAAAAGGTGAAGTTGGGCTGTGTATAATGTATTTATTGTTGTGTAAACTGTAAAAAAGAGATCCCAGTGCCGGGCTGAGAATTTGTCTACTTCCCTTTTATTTCTTGGGATGTCAGTCCTGCAGCTTTTATTATTTGAGAGTTGTTTACATACTGATGCGTAACACTCTGCTTATCCTGGACAGAGATCGTCACCACAGAATGACAATACTGATGTACAAGTTTGTTTTAAAAACTGTACACATCCTGTGTAATTTGTAGAGTGAAAATTATCAATGAAACTGAATTGCAGGAAAAAGTGGTGCTGTCTCTAGGAATATTACTATGCGAACAACAGATAGTTTGGGGGTAATGCTTCATGTTCATAGGGAATTCCAGATGAAATCATGAAAAGAGAAACTGCTATCAATGTCCAATCTTTTAGACATAAACTCTTTATTCCTAATCTTCATTTCTCCACAGGAAATGCAGCTGCTGGGCATACATTCATCCATTAAAAAATTGTCATTTTTTTTATAACTGTAATGTTATATGAAAACTAATATTAAAATGAACTGCATTTGTTTTAACAACTTCTCTACTCTAGTTGGAGTTATTGCAGTTGTTCTCTAACAATTATTATTAAAAAGTAAGAAGTCCTTCTTGTAACGAATTGCTTGGTTTACAGTTTACAAACTCGTCCTGTTATTCATTCTGGTAGCATCCCCCGCCTCCTGAGAAATTAAAACAAATCAGTGTCAACATTTTGTTTCTTAAGGTACACGGACAATTTCAAACACTGCTAATGAACTGACTAGTAAACGCCTTGGCATCTTATAAATCCCTGGTCAAAACAGCTGTTGATTTGTATTATAAGCTAAAAACACACCACCAAAAATGACTGGTGATGAACTCAACCAACAGTTAACCCGCTGTGCCAGTTGTTCTGAGGTAGCGGCACTATAAAGGAAAGCTACCGTGATAGCTCTGAGCAGACACACAAAAATGTTCATGTTTCTCTGCATCACTGTACACAAGTGCAGAAGTTCAAGGAATATTGGTGACGTTGAGAAAGACCATTTGCAAAAAGTTCTGTGCTGGAGCAGAGGGGAAACCCTGTCATCTTCCCACAGTTGACCTAACACGATATAAGTATGTGCATTCTAAAAACACATTTAGATGAACTTCAAGGCAGCAGAATGCATATCGTCACCGACATCATGAACTAATGCAGAAATCCTGGATTGGTACACTTCCTGAAAACTACCATCAAAAGTTGAGGATTCACAAACCAAAGAGGAGGTATGTGTGTGCACTTGGCACGCTAATATGCATGTTTTGGATGTACAGCTGAGAGAGAAATACTGCCGAGTGTTTCACAAGAATTATCCCTTCTTATACTTCTGGATTACAGAATGTAAAATCTTTTAACTTGTAAAATTAAAGGTTTCATTTCGTGAAAACAAGAATGTTCTCATAAGTTATGTATGTCACTTCGTGAAATCATGGAAACTGCAAATTTCTTGGGAAAGGGTGCTTGCAATAGTTCTTTGTATTAGTTTGTGGTGACGGTAACGATATGCCCAACAATAAGGCTAAAAAGTCCTTTTGCTTCAAGTTTTCTGCTTTTACTTATTTGTTTAAAAAAACTGGATTTTGTTTCTGCTTAAGTTGTTACTTTGTATAACAGAACATTTAATCAAAGAGACAGTTGAATTTTCACACACTCAATTACTCAAAATGGCCCATTCTTACCCAGACTCTGGACCAAGAATACTCCCAGGTGGAGAAAAGCAAGTAGGGGTGGAGTGGCTTACCCAAGGATACAACATAAGGACAGCAACTGGATTTGAACCCCTCAGCCCTAGTCAAGAGTCAAAAACCTTAGTTGTCAGTTCATGACCATCTGCTGCTCAACCAGCTTCTGAAAGACACCATCTTCCACCCTCATCAGCTCCTTGTGGCTTGCCCAAGGACACAACATCAAGACAACAGCTGGATTTGAACCCCTCGGCCCTAGTCAAGAGTCACAAAACTTACTTCACATGAAATGTGCCAACACAAAGGGATTTCCTGTGTGATAACACAGAATGTTTGAACAAATGTTCTGGTGAATCCAGTATGCTGGGCATTGTGACAAATATTCCGCGACTAAAGCTTTGAGTTTCAAAGAAGTGGTGACGTGGTAAGAAAATGTTGCACAAATCTTGCACCAGGGACCACCAAGGGTCAGGACACCAGGCGCAACTTTTTAAAGGACTGGGATTGGGGTATTGTTTAAAATAGTCTGTATTTTTGACCAAACCAATTCCATGCCTGGTATAAGCCTGGTATAACAGCATAATAGTGATTAACCACTAGGCCACACTCTCTCAACCGATGCCAGTTAAATCATGCATAATTCACTCTCCTCAAACACAGGCCACCCATGGTTCTCAGTCAAAATACAAAACAAAAAGAGAGTGCTCACAAGCCGTCAGTTCATGACCGTCTGTCGCTCAACCAGCTTCCGAAAGACACCGTCTTCCACCCTCATCAGCTCCTCATAGCTGCCCAGCTCCACCACACTCCCCTTGTCCAGCACAGCGATCTTGTCGGCCCGCTTGATGGTGGAGAGGCGGTGGGCGATGGTGATGACTGTCCGGCCAACCATTAGCCGTTGCAGTGCTTCCTGGACCAGGTACTCGCTTTCTGCATCCAAGGCACTGTCAAAATCAACAGCAGAAATAATGAACCAGTTCAATAAGGGCTTGATTAACAAGACGGCTCTTTTGGATCCTGCTCCCCATCGCCACCTTACGTATTGATCACTCTGAAATGGGAAAGAGCCTGACTACATGTATTCTGCCTCAAACAGAATATTTTTAACTGGTATTTGAACAATTTAATGAGACATGACTTTATGTCCAAAATTTGGAAATACCCATCAAGACATAAGAAAGGTAATGTATAATTCTCTTGTTATGCCTGGTCTATTGATGGGTTTTGCAAACGGAAAAAGAAGAGTGTATTTCACTCCTGCAAAAATCATACTAACTTCAATTCAAAAGCTGTGGAAGTCCAAACATGGAAAATGTGTAATGTTAGGAATAGAAAAAAATGTTTTTTGGGGGGGGGACTTTCCAAGGGGCCAAAAAAATTTTAGAATTTCTTCATGTAGCCTTTTGTGTCCTACATCAGGAGTGAAGTTAAACTTTGGTGGTTTTTACACATTTTGGGGGAAGAAAGAGAAATGAAGTGGTCACATGAAAATTGTGTAATTCATCTTCAGAAATGACTCTGGCATGTGCATTTACAGCTACAATACCAAACGGTGGAATGGACAGACTGCAGCCTTTCAGCCAAGTAGCAATAAAGGCCAGGTCCAGCAATGCAAGATGCTGTCTCTAGTACCTTGTGGCTTCATCCAATATCAGAATCTTAGGGTTCTTGAGAATTGCTCTGGCTAGAGCAATACGCTGCTTCTGGCCCCCTGCCAAGGGAAGAGGACAAGAAAGATTTCTCTGAGAATCCTTTAACGCTTGGAGTTTTACTTAATTACTTAATGTGCCAACTGTTCATAATGCAGATATAAAGAAATTGGTCAGAGCATAATATGAACATGCTCCTTTTGCAACA